AATAGTATGTGCAAGAAGGAAAAGAATAATAGGATAAAAAATTGCTGGATTTGTGATGAATCTGGATGTGGGCATTATAAAGGGTCCAGCCTAAATAGAAGATACCAGCTTAACACTGAAGGAACATAATTGCTTAAATCTTGTACATAATGGGTTTCTATAATATAAGACACATATAGAGTAACAAATATAATCATAACATAAAAATTTTTCTTTGAAAAAATGCTGGAAGAGTTTGTGGTGTTCTGTTGAGCAAACAATATTCAAATATAGAAACGGTCAGAAAAAGAAAGCAGATACCAGATTTACTCTCCATATGCATTTATAATTGGATGAGATGTAACATGCTTATTACAGCAAAAAATGATTTAGATAAGATTGGAAAAATATTTCTAACTAAATAAAGATGGGTAGGGGAATGGATTCCCATCATCTTTCTAAGCATCTCCATCATTGCAGTTTTTTAGGACTAGATTAGACAGACATTTAAGCTGATCTGTATAGACAGTTGTGCCTCAGAGGAAGGATGAAACTGTATGTCTTGAGACTCAACTGTGCCTACTTTTGTTTTATGATGTGTAGCCAGACTATTTTTTTCTAAGTGTATTTTATAATTTGTATGTAATGCAGTGCCAAACACATTAATATAAGGCTGCTTAAAGTGTGTATGTAAATAAACTAATCAAACTAATTTTTATGTTTTTTCCATTCATTATGAAGCTATCATGCTGAGGCAGAATACAAAATGGAGTGTGGCATGAATGCTCGCTATGGAAAAGCAAAAGAAAATTAACAAGAAGAAATTTAATCCAATACATCCATTTGTAATGGAAGATGTTTTCTCGCAATAAAGCTTGCATTTTCACAGTACTCTTCTTACTAGGAGTTTCAAAGACCTTTCAGAAATCTTCTCAGCAACCCTGAGGCACTTTGGGAGGCGAGACCACAACTGTGCAGCATCACATTGGAGACAGAAGCCCCAGCATGTCCGGGTCAAGTTCTAAAAGCTGCTGGCTCTCAGCAGGGCTGGGCCTGGGCTGCTCCAGGTGTAGCTCATCCCCTCTCCCATGTCATGCTCTCTCAACATCACTGTCACTGAACTTGCAGAAACGTCTCACTGCTCTCACCAACACTTAAACACAGGATACCACCTTCTACAACAGGAAAAAATGTTGATCTACTGCCCTTTCCAGAAGACCTCCACCAACACACCTATACTGAGCAAATATCTATCAGAGACTTCTACAAGAGAATGGGTAGTTGGTATTTATTAACAGCAAAAATAATGTTTGTGTATATTTGCTTTATATTATCATCATATAAAAATACACACAAATTCATATAAATAAATAGTTTAAAAGAAAACAATTGCATTCCTTTGATCTAGTGCCCTGCCTTCTCTCCCTAGGACAGAGACCCAGATGGATTTCATGTGTTGTATAGCATGTTGAACTACAGAGTCATTGCTATTGGCAAGAATCTCTCATTGACATTATAAAAGAATAATATATTACACATTTGTGTCCTAATGCTATAGTCATATACGCTGAAATCCTGAATTTGCATGAAGTTTATAACTTTGACTTGGTGCTTGTTTAGGTATTTTCAAATATAATTCTTTAATATTGTTGTTTGACCAATTTTCATGTCTGCTTTAAGTCAACAGTGAATACTTGGGCCATGCAAATAGTTGCTGCTGTGTAAATGAGTATTTCTCCATGTTGGTATTATTTTCCTGCCTTACTCAGAGGTAAATACATTGTAGTAAATCTGTCTGTTTACAGACAGCTGGACATCAATAAAAATCTGTTAAATGTCTGTATAAAAAAGAAGTGGCTTCCTGCTATTGGGTAGATTCACTTTCTAAAAAACCTTAACTTTGCACTAATATGCCTTTAACACCACACTTTGTGTATCACTATTAAAAGCAACAGCAAAAGGTATTTATACAATATAGGGAATAAACCCCCACAACTCTCTAATAATAATGACAATAACCTTAGCCAAGGATATTTCTCTAAAATTAATAACTAGCTGGGGTTAATGGCCACTGGCTTCACCTTAGGCCCTCAATTAATCCCTGAACCTCAATTGTTATTACCTAATTGACTTAGTTTCATTTCATTTTAACATTTCAAAGTGATCTTCCTAAAACCACACTGACAGAGTAACGTGGTCTCTGTAGATATGCACTGACATGGTTTCAATACCGTTACTTCGTCTCCATACGCTTGCATTGACATTTCATTTTGCGCTGACATTGCAGTGCCACATCTATGGATCTGTGCAGATGACATGTGATTGTTCACATCAGGTGAAAGCCTGGCCAGAAGCGAGGGCACACAGGCATCCTTTGCAGGAACATGATGCCAGCAGAGAACTGCTAAGAATTACTGTTATAATTTTTAATAATGTTATCATTGCAAATATGATTTGTATGTTTGTAAACAGAAGAAATATCAAATATGACTTGAAATATTGCTGGCTTCCTTAAATAAACAAATAAAAATTTTTACTTAGATCACTTAAAAACTTAGCCTGAAAAATGCACCAGGTAATATATTTAAAGAGTTTTTTTGATATTACTGCTTCATACTTATTTGAGGCTGCAAAAAAATTATGCAAATCCTGTGTGTTCAAATATCATCATATCAACACGAGCAGCTGAATAAGATTCATCTCTAAACCAAGGAATCCTCATAAAAAAAGGGCATCAAAATAGAGTCTTTTTATCATGTGGAAAAGTTTTCGAAAAGTCTTTTGAAGCTCTTTGATCCAGCTCTGGAATAATTTTGGTAATTACTATTGTACAAAACCGTAATTTATAGTAGCTGACCTCAGCTGCTCTTTGTATAACAGCCATATATGAAACAATAGCAGGAAAGTAAAAAATACAAGGGGAACTGAAACTGCTCTGTTTATTATGTAGCTCATAATTACATCTTCCTTATTTAATCTTCTGAATCCTGGCATGTTTTTAATAATACAGGTTCAATTAATATTTACTGTACACAGGAGAGTTAGTTTTGAGTAACGCATTTAGACTATCCAAACTTTGTGTAACTTGTGACCTTTCCCTAACCTAAGCGAGGTCTATTTTATACAGATCGTACTAGATAGACGGTTTCTCTATAAATGGTGAAGTTGCTGCCAAGCTCCCATTGTTAGCTAGTTCATTTTTCAACAGGCACACTTTAGGTTCCTATCACACCACTGTAAAGAGCAAGCCCTTGAGGTTTCTTCTTTTGTCAATGTAATAAAAAGGTTATTTCTGAATAACCTGAAAATCCACAACAAATCATCCCTTGTGACTTAGTATAACATGATAGGAGGAATTTTTTATTGTTTTTGTAAGCAGCCTCCCATTTCATTCTGTAATATTAAATCGGTACTTGAGCAGCATTTGTTCTAATGTAATTTATCTCATCCTTAAAATAACAAACCCATGCTCCTAACAACTGTTACCCTAGCTCAGTATTCACCATGTAACAGCAGAAGATCCCTTTAGAAGAAGCTATCTATTGTAAGACTACATCAGACAAAGCAACACCAAGAATCAAGTTAAATTCTGTGTATTTTTTGTTGACCCTTGAGGAGTTGTTATCAACTCTAGTAAATAGCAACACCCTGTAGGATGCACAAGCTCTTGCCAGATGTGATGTGGAAATGGGGAGAAAACCCACTCTCCCACTCTGAACCAAGCAGACTTGCCACAGGAGAAAAGCTAAACCTTTAACTTCAACAGACCTCCTTGCAAAAGTACTGCACAAACAAGGCATGAACTCACAAAAAACAAGGCTCCTTAATGAAAGAGATGTTTTAACAGTTGTATTACTAGTATTTCCTTTGCCTATTTTCTAGTAACACAGAGGCACTAACTCAGTCCTTTGTACAACTGTACTCTCAATTGAGGAGTGAGTGATTATTCTGCACTAAGTGTGCTCTGTTTGGTGAATACTCCCAGCCTGAAGAAATGACCTGTGTTTCATACCAAGAGTATGAAGAGCATCACAATGGCTTCCCATTGCAAAGCCATGTGAAAATTCTGGGGACAGTCTCCCTGGAATCCAGAGCTACTAGTTAAATTAGAGTAAGAGCAAAATTGCTCTACATGGTTGGTCAGTTCAAATGTATACAGAAATGGAAATATCACTCTTCAGATGTAGTAACAGAAACAGAAGCAGGTGGTAGAAAACATGGTAGAAAACTTTCCAAATAGGACACATGAGCAAAGGGGAGGATATTGAATAAATAAAAGTGAAATAAGTGAAAATAAGATGGAACATTAAAAGGGGAGGACTGGAAAATGGAAAGAGGCATTCACAGTCTTTTGTAGTAGTCTAGATGGTGGAAAAATCCAAAAGCCAATACCAGAAAAGAATGACTTTTTGAATGAGCAAATACAACAGAACAGGATGAAAACTATTCATGAATTACCAGTACTATTAATGTAATGAAGTAAGCACAATAAGATATTTGGTCCCTTTTCTTCAGCTTTAGACAAAACTTTTTCTGCTCTGAGCTGTCTTTAGGGGAAGATTATTAAACTCATACTAATGTGTCCCCAGAATATAGGAATAGCAGAACCTCTGTTTTCTTCCTATACTGGAGCGTGTGACCCACCATTGTGTTCCTCCTTTACAAGGAAGTTTTGCTTCCCTGCTCAATACAATTACATCAATTCCTAAAGCTCAGAACAGGTCTTATAACAGTGGTTGTAAGAGCAGATGCTTGCAAGTCTATATATGCCAGTGAGAACATCATTCAGTTTTATGTTCACTTCTGTTTTCTGGCTTGGCATAATTCATTAGCACACTCTACAGAATACTCCATAAAACTGAATTTGGTTTTAATGTTAAGGTTCTAATGGCCACAACACTGTTTAAGAAAACCAAACCAAGAAAAAACCCACAAAGAAACAGCACTGTCTTCCTCTTTAATATAAAAGTTGATGTTTACATCTGATAAACAGCAAAAACAGCCAAATAAAAGGGTTTTTTTTTTGCAATATACAAGTAGTAATAACACAACAGTCCTAATTTTTTATGCTTTGTGTTCAGCATTTAAAATAGTGACACAGCATAGTTTTTGTAGAGGCAAAGCTTTTTTGATAGCATGCAATAAAATTGGTACAGTATATAGACTTTTGTGGTTAATTTCATCCTCATTCTAATACAGATTCTTTAAGTGGGCAATATATGAAGATGAGTTCAAGGCTCTGATTAAAGACAGCTGTACTGCTTTCCAACCTGTTATATCACGTCATTAGGTAGAGGAGTAAATACACAAATATAAGCTTAAAATGATTTATCTGTGTGTCTCCACATAAATTTGTTTAATGTAAAAACAAATAAAGCAAAGCTTTGATGAAGGTTCGCAGAATTTTCAACATCTGTGCAGATAAATTTAATTTATTCAAAAAGAAAAAGCAGCATTAGTGTATCATGTAAAAGCTGATTTAAATGATTTCATACAACAGAAAGCATATGCAGTAGCTAAAACAAATACCGTTTGCCTTTAAAGCCCATTTCACTCAGACAACCATTACTTCTGAATTTTCTACAATGACATTGTTCAGTTATCCCTTCTTTTTTATTCTCTTGCTGATTTTACACATTCCATAGTTAAACCTAAACCATAGTTAAAAGTCCCAGGGGGAGTAACACCCTAAATGTAGCTTTTGTGTGCAGCATCAGGCAGGTACATTCACAGATGGCTTCTGTGAACCTGTATGGGCAGATACCTTACAGCTGGTCAGGTAAAATAAGCTCAGCACAATGCCTTAAATAGCTGAATGCAAATGAGTTACAGGTGCTTGAATATTTTTTAAAAACAAATCTCTTCACTATAACACATTCAAACCGAGGAAAATATCTCTATACAACAATAACTCAGTGGAGCTATACTAGTTTATCTCTGCAGCAAGGGACAGAGTACTAGAAGATTAAAGACATTTTTTCTTGAAAATGAAGATTTTTCAAAATTATAAACTTCTGTCTAAAACTTACCAGAAAGTCTTAAGGCGAAAACTAAAAATTAAAAATAAAAATACTGTGTATGCATCTGAAAACTACAGCTGAAAAACTCCAGAATAGGATTAATATCCTTTCCACACATATCACTTCACCTAAAAAAAGGTGATGAATATGCACTTTAATGTTTTAGAGACCCTTTCCTTCTGGAAAAGATCACCAACTTGTGCTTTAGGGAGACTGTTATCAGACCTTTATTTCTACAGCTGAATCCATAGCTCTTCTTCTCAGAAAATACGAACATGATGAGCATACATGCAAATCTCTCACTGACATTTTAAAATATTTGTCCTTTCCTGAGTAATAGTTAGCACAGAGAGGAGTACTGAAGTGTGTGAAGTCCAACAAGCTGCTGTCACTAAGAAAGGTCTGAGAGCACAAACCTGAGACCCAGTCTTGCTCCTCTGAGTGGCAATGTGGATGGAAAAAGAAGAGACTGAACTCAAAACTTCACAAAGGGCTAACACCCAGCTCAATGAACTTCCGATCTTGGTAGTTCTAACAAGAGAAAAACAAGGCTCTTACAGAAAACAAGTACACAGGAAACTTCTGTCCATTTGTGTGCTTTATTCGTCTTGTGGAACTGATCCAGTATGAAGCACTGCTGTATCTTTTTTTTAGATTCCCCTTCTTGAACACCAGCATGATAAACTCCTTCAGAAATAACTCACATAAAGACAGCTCCTGCATGTTGTTCCTTTGTACTTCAGTGTACCAGACATTTGCTACAGTACCTGTAGGGGTAAAGAGAGATTCCTTCCTTAGTCAGTTAAGAGAAAAAAATCCTAGGTATAGATTCCCTGGGGGTGAGGAAGAGAAAAAGACAAAACGTGAGTTATTTTTAAGTCATTAAAATACTTACTAAGGCTCACCCACACTACCCCCAAACTTCACAGGCTTATATATATATAAAATAGAAACTGTGTTCTTTGCTTTCACCTCCTCTCAAAATCTCCTAACTATTTTTTAGCTGTTAACTTGGGATTCCATTGTTGATTTTAACAATCAGATAGTGACAAAACACATACACCAATTATTATCTCACAATCTGGCGATTTACTGTAACAGCCATGATCCCTTCTTACCACTTGGGCTTTACCAGCTCTGCATTATATTGTTTTAAGCCCCAAAACAACAGTCTTCACCAAACCTCCACATCACTGTAGGTGTTTTAGTCACATCACTAGCACATAATGAATTCATAAAAAGCACTTAATTTTATAGGTGACTCTGTAACAGGGAAAAGAACTGAAAGCTCCACCTTCAGCCTCTGCATTTTTTTGTCTTTGTTTAGAATGCTTGAAGAAGCCATCCGGAAGGAGGAAAGATTATGAGTATCTTGAAACCAGCAGTTTGACAGAGACAGAACTGCTGATAATGAGTGGGTTGTGTCTGTCTTTTTTGGCTGATCACAACAGAGGTCTGAAGCAAAACAGAAACTCTTGATATGTTTGTGTAAAGCAGCAGTAGCATAAGGGCAGGCAGCAGGAGTTCAGCTGAAGTTCAGGGCAGATGCTGCCATTAGTTTACACTGCAGGAAAGTAAAATTGCTTCCGGATTTACCTCTTCCTCCCAACATCAGCGCTGAGCCATGCTGTGTCGCAGAGTCACAATGTCAGTAGGGAAGCAGTCTTTTAGCAGGATACCACGTTCACGATGGCAGTCCAGCTCTTCAATAAATCCGTACCAGTAGATGACTAATCCAGGGCCAAATCTATCAAACAAAATGGAAAAACAAACTTATGTAATTGTGTTAGGGGAATTTCAATGTCCCCCCTTTGTGATTCCAACGCAAATCTGGTAACTTCACTGCAAAATTGGAGGGAGTATTTAATCCCCATTTAACTTTCAAATTCTGAATATGCAATTGATCGATGTCAATAGTACCTGATTCCATGAATAAAAATGCTATTTAGAGACCTATAGAATCCACATCAGTGTTTCAGTTTTTTACTTTGGAATCTTCTGCACATGTCAGTAAAAAATACCCATGTATTAAATACTAAATACTAAACATTTTGTAAATGTGATGCACAGAGATACCTCTCTTGACATGCACCCTGCTCTTTTAGATTTGTGTGTGCAGACATTAAAGATACAAGGTTTTACACATGTCCCAGTTCATTCAAATTATAATACCATGAAGATAACAACAAATCCTTAAAATATAATCTCTACAATGAGCTATTATTCAGATAAGTATTAACATAAAGTACAATTCAGAAGGAACAGAAAGTTTGAGTTGCAATGGCTCTGAAATGTGCCTCAGGAATTCCTCAGATATTGCTAACTCTGACTGATCCCCACTAGGCAATCTCAGGAAGTAGCCCCATGGACTATTTTACCCATCAGGAAGTTCAGACCTTCAGGCTGGGTTCATAAAGAAGTAATCACTATCAATCACTGTGTACTGCGATATGTTTTGCACATCAGTTTCACGTTTTTCCTACTGAGAGCACTTAATTAAAGGGCAGCACTACTTCTGGTGTAGTATTGCAGGAATTTTACAGTGGAATCATAAATTATGAATGTTGGGTTAGTAAAAGGATGTCTAAAAACAGAACTGCTTTCTGTAGTCTAGCATTACAGCAGTCTGTACAACATTAGGCCAAAAAGCTTTTTCTTTCCTTGATTTATTATATGCTGTAGTGAACTTGCCAAAACCAACAGTGCAGGATGAGCTGTTAGGTACCGTCTGTACAAGAAAAAGTTCAATTGAATGTCATGTAATGGTTTATATGCAGAGTTACTCAGGATTCAACCAATATGGTAGCCAATTTTTGTTAACATTTAATTTTAATAAATATGTGCTGAGAGGAGGCACAGTAACTAAATGTCCACTGAACAGACAATACAAGCACTCAAAGCCATGGGTAGTGCCAGACCAGCTTCATGAGGGTGGTTTCTTTCCAGCAATGCGGAGAAAACTCTATTTGATGTGCTTGTGTAATGGAATAGGCATCAAAGGAAGAAGAAACCCCTGTGGCTAGCTCCTGCAGTTTCAATTAGATGTGGTACTCTTTTGCCTGAAACTGCTGCAGAGCATTGTAACATTTTGGTCTATGGCTACTACTCTTCAACCTCCAAGTGGCCACAGTTCAGTGGCAGAGTAAATTACCCTCAGCATAGATGAGGCCACACTGGCAAATATGCTTTTTGCAACTGAAAGGTGATATTCGAAAGTTGAAAGGTTAAAACTCTGACACATCTGGTTGTACTAGGTAACGTATCCTAACATGCCTGGCAATAAATACAGTACAGACTAAAATGAAGGATGATGCTGCCTGTACCCAATTCCTAATTTTGCCTGGTTGGCCAACAACTTCAGCTTCCATGGACTTCTTTCCACTGTCCATTGCTTAAGCTCCTGTGGGGCCAAAACTTGCAAAGCCTCACTGCACCCAAGCCCAGACCCAAGCAGGAGCGAGGGGCCAAGGCGAGTGAGGCCAAGGACTGATGCTCACAGCTCTGGTGAGAGACAGCAGTTTGCTGATCCAGGAGGGGCCCCCACTTTTGTTACTTCACAGACGACGTATCTGCTCCCACATCAAGCAAATATAGAAATGGGTAATCGGGTGGGAATGTACTTATGTACTAACCAAAATTATTTTAAAAGCAAAAATCCCCAGAAGATAGAGAGCAGACCTTACATTTCTAATGGGCTATTTTGTGCAAGGCAGAAGGTATGAAATGTATGCAAGTAGTTACTCATTATGAGCACATGTGCCAGGTAAAATCCTGATGCTAATGAGCAGCTGCTCACCCAAGTTCTGAAGGGCTCATTTCACTGTGTGGCAGTCTGAATCCCCCATTCACCATAAAGTACATGTGGCACTGTGCTTAAGTAATTTGTTTAGTTATTTTTTGAAACTGTAATTTTAAATAAAATTACTATTTCGAGACACCTCAAAAGGCTAATTTATGTCTTGTGAGCAAATCACCTCAGCTCAAGCACAACTTTTGAGGTGCTTAAAAAATTATGTTCAGAAATACCAAATTTGATAATAAAATTATATACAAGAACATCTGCAGACTGTTAATGGCAGGAGCAAGTACATCTTTGGCATGAAAACATCCATCAATCCTGCTTCAGTCTATGGCGTTGCAGTGAAACTGTCTGCCCTGTGCTGTCTAGGTTGCACTTTTTCAACTCTATTGTGTCATTTGTTCTATTATAGCTCAATATCATAAAGCTCATGTGTGTGATCACATAAAAACCCATGCCATACTTTTGTTTACTGCACTTAAGTGCAGTACTTAAGACCAAAATAAACTTGTTGGCCCATTAAGCATTTGCCACTGACTATCAGGAACTCCTGCTGCTAACTGCTAATTTCTCTCTCATTAACGCCCAGAGTTGGCAAACCACAAACAATGCCACTGGTTAATTACTGCTGCCTTAATTTGAAAAGACACTTAACCTTTTTGCGCATGGTGGTTAGATAGCAAAATGTAACCTAAAAGTAAGAACCATACTTTTGTCCCAAGTGGAGATATGACACCCTGAGGAATGAAAGTCAGTGCTGTGCATCACAAAGTAAAGCTACAAATTGATTTCTTGCATCAGTTGTAACACTGAACAAGTTAAGTGACTGACTGTGGTTTACACAGGAGAATGAACTAAAATGACAGAATGCATACTTGGTATTGCTACGGAAAGGGGAGGCATTCAGTAGCTTCGAGGAGCATAGAAAATCTTTGAATGTACCAATTAGTTCTAAAACTGTATGGATACAAGACAGACCAGGTTATGTTATTTCATATGAAAGACACACTGAAGAAAGTTTAGGCTTAAATTGAAAATCAACCGTAGAATCTAACAAACTGCTGGACTCCTTTGGATTTTCTTCTTGCTTAGAAAAATCGTATAAATCCCTGAAAATGTGCTTGTATTTCTTCTCCCCATCTTTAGTTCTTAGGTGTGAAAAGTTTAGGTGTGAAGGAACGTGTCCAAAAGTTATACGAAACTGTAATTTCAGCTATTCCTCTGAAAGTACTGCTTTTAGAACTTTGCTTTTATTAGGGGTTTCTTTTTAAAGCTGAAAAGAAACCCAAGTAACTAAGGATTGGTTGATTCCATGCAGTAAAAATAGAATAAAGAAGAAATACAGGCATGAACATAATAAACATAGCAAGTGAAAATCATCCACAGAGATTGCTTCAGTTAAAAAAACCAACCAATAGATAGGTAGCTACCATTACATAAATCCCAGTTTAGTCAATGTCCAGTTCTGACATTAGAAGTTGTGACTGACTGCAAGGCTGCCAAAGCCGACTCCGCTGCACTTGGGGTGTGAGTACCAGAAGTGCCAAAGGGGAGGCACACAGACTTCTGTCCCCAGTGCATGGCAAGAGGAGAGCAGCATTAAAAAAGCTTGTGGATTGCTTTAGGCCTAATTTAGGCTTGATATAGATGACTAAATTTAGTCTAAGTACTAAAGGCAGCACATGGTGTCTTTCAAAGAATCAACAGAAGCATCTGAGATAGAAAAATACAGTTTGAATATAGTTAAATATAGTTGCAGTCTCAACAAGTTCTTTAGATAAAACTTGTATCTGACAATACTATTTGCTCTAAGTCAGGTCTGCACTAATTTCAGATTGCTCAGAGGAACTCTGTATTGGTTTAATCACATAAATTTTGAAAGAAAACCATAGCTAAAGTAGTACACTGATAATCCTGGGACACTGAGTTTTTTCTTGGAAAGGAGTTTCACAGAGATATACTGTAAAGCCAGAAGGCAAAATTCAGATAACCCAAAGCCAAATGGTTCTCTGTCTTAAGAAAAAAAAACCAAAAAACAACCCAGCAACAACAACAAACTAAGAGACTACTTAAAATAAAAAGGGAAAGAACACAACTAAGTAAAATATGAATCAGGGTTTAACTTGCCCTCCAGTTGAACCAGTTTTGTGCTAGAATAGAAAAAAGACTTTTATTTATTTATCAAAGTGGCCTAATAGGCTCACACATACTCTAAGTCACTTCAAGAGAAACTACTTTCTAGCAATGTATTTTCTTCTGGAATGTCTGTGTGAGGTCCATACCAGCTTCTAAGGATTTGCCTAGACATGTGGCTGTTGTGAGGTGATTTTTTCACGATCACAAAGCCTTGCATGTGGTTTTATGAAATATGCATTTTCAACACACTGCTTGATACTGAACAGAAACGTAAAAGAACTTGGAATTGTTTTTATATAAATGTTCACTTCATTTATTATTAGTCTATTTGTTATAGATGTTCTATATGCAACTCAGCATAACATAAATAATTTGAATTGCAGAAGACTCTCACTAGAAAATGCTGGCATATGAATTATTATTTCTAATATGCATACACTGAAACAAATATTTTATCAAATGGATTTAGCCAAATATTCATGTTATGAAAGTATAACAATCTACCTGGTTAGTAATTTTTATTATGAAGGTCACACCTGAATGTCTCTTTTAAGGACTGCATTCTAGTTCCTCAATTTTCAATGCCAGCTAAAAAGCTGGAGTTGCCTCCTTGTTTTTCTTTTTAAATATGGAGCAAATCAGAGCATTACCATTTGAATAGCACTACTTGTTTTCTGGGAAAGAGGAATTACAAAGTTCACAAACAAATTATGACATTCTAAGTAAATTTAACATCATTCTTCAGAATCACAGTTGTGAGTAAATAGGTTTTACGTGGTTCTAATAAACGTTGAAGATAAAATAATTAACCC